ATTAAAACAACAAATTAATTTTTGAAAATTTTTATGGTAAAACTTTGGTGTAAGTTTGTATGGTATAAATATTAACGACTTTCTTTGGTAGACAAGCTGAGGTAGCTTTACTGAATTTGATGTTTCTACACTTATCCTTGATGCTCATTTTAAGTGGGAAATATGTTTCAGTGAAGTTTCTTTGTCTAAAAAAGTTTAATAATTGGGAGACGAGAAGTTAGGAAGGTTTTTGGGCAAGTCCTCATTTTGGGCACTCCTCAATGAATCATAGTATCGAGTTTTCAACGAGTTTTCCTCCTATTGATATAGTTAATTTGCCAATTCCTTGAGTAATGGATCATTTTACGTTTCCAGAGTGTTGATGATGAAATTATGTTGTGGGAACCTATAGTGAAGGAAGAAATTACAGGAACGGTTAGTTATAATTATTTATTATTATTATTATCTGTTTTCATTTGTTTTTATGATATGTAAGTTTTAATCAGCTTCATATTATTTTTTGTGCTTTGTTTGGATTTTTAGGGTGCAGTTGATGTCCTTCAGAAATACCCCATTCCTGTATGTGATATCTGGTTCATCAAGTTTTCATGTGATTTCCATTTCAACATAGCTACAGTAGGTAAGAATGATTGCTTATTTTTTAAAATTTATTATTTTCTCTAGTATCTACTGCAGTTCCAGTCATATAGTGTGATAGGAACTATGGATAATTGGACAATTTGTTGAATACATATTTCTGACAATTTGGACTGGTGCTTTTTTATGGCAAGTCTGAGGAAATTTTAAGATTTTACTTTTGTTTTATGTTCATTTTTTATTTTCTGGGTCTTTCAGGTAACAGGGAAGGCAAGATTTATGTTTGGGAATTGCAGTCATGTCCTCCTGTACTTGCTACAAAGTATGTTGTCTATCAACTGATTATTTCAAGAACAAAACTTAGAGAAAGTTCTATTGATGGTTTGTGTAGTTTTCAATCAGAATTTAAGTTTCATCTCCACAATCTGCAAATAAATATTTGCCTTAAAAAGATTATGCAAATTTCTGAGATGAACTCCAATTCTGATTGTAAAAACCAGTTCAAACAAGACTTTAAAAAATTTGACCTAAGTTTTATAGTTATTTCAATTCAAAGGTCTTCTACTGTATAAAGTTCTTATGCTTAGTCACCTTGTTCAGGTTGTCACATCCTCAATCAATCTCTCCGATCAGGCAGACTGCTACTTCCTTTGATGGAAGGTAATGCTTGATATATTGATGATCATTCTCATATTTTTGATGCAATATTCTTGTAGTTTTTAACTATAGTCTTCTGTTGTTTATGTTTTAGTACTATATTGAGTTGCTGTGAGGATGGGACAATATGGCGCTGGGATGATGTTTCAAACTCTTCAACCTAACTTGCATACATGCAATACCAATCTGACGTGCTTGTCAAAAAATCAGGAACTTGGTTTATTGCGTGTTTCTTTGTCTGTTTGGTTATTTTGGTTCGATAATCCTTATAATGTAAAAGGTTCAACTGAGAACTCATTAGAACTTTGACGTTGTTTAAATAAAATTGAGCCATGCATGTTTCCGGTTTATACAATTTAGAGTTCTTCAGTTCGAATGGTTCTTTCCCCTTTAATATATTATTTAATAGAAAATATTTTCGAAATGAATTAGGGTTTTGCGTGTGAAGCTTGTAATTATCTTCTATGGTGCGAGATGATTTGTTAAGGGTGTTTGAGTTAAATTCTTTAGTAGCGTAGATCTTAAGCGTTGGTTCTATATATGTGGTCAATGTTTTCTACATTCGAAATATGCAGTGAGTAGTTGGTCAATCGTTTTCTCTGTTTTTCAGATTAAGTTATCTTTTTAGAATGGAAATCAGAGAAGTGTATATTGACGTATTTGTTGCGATATTTTCCGATTTTCCATAAAAGTAGTAACATTATGTTGTATTATTTTTTAAGTGTTTTTATTCCCATGTTAAAGGGTGTTAAGGTTGTTTTTTCATCGGACGTGAAAAATCATATTCTGATCTCATTTGAAGTTTTTACTTTTTTTCATTTTTAAAATATTTCTAAAAACATTATTTAAAGGTTACCCAATATATTTTATTTAAGAATGACTTTTCTGATTGCAGTATTTCTGATGTGCTTCAAGAAAATCTAACACCGTTCCTTAAAACAAGCTCCTGAATACCTTGATATGCTCTCGCACATCTTTCAAGTGTTCTGTTTTTTGGTAAGATTGAAATTTTGAAGTGTTCTGTTTTTGGGTAATAAAGAACTGCCATCTATTTTTTACTCTATGACTTTTTTTTAACAATTGTAATCTAATTAATTTTAAATATTATTTTATTTAATCACTATTGTATCGTCTTAAGTTTATTTGAACTTTAAAAACATTGGATAATGTTTTTTATCTCCTTTTTTAAAGGAGTTAAAACCTAATAGAATATATTTGATTACCGTTTTTTAAGATTTTAGCATGATTTTTGGTTTTGCGCCGTTAAAGTCGCTAATTTTTTTCTACTCTGTATGTTGTGAGTGTTTAGTAATTTCTTCCATGGCAGAGTAACTATGATTTCTTTCAGAATTAATTAATCACAATGGGGAAGATTTTTTGTTGGTAGCAAAATATTCAGAAAATCAGGATATTAAACTCCCAGAGATATCTCAACCATTTGATTACTTTGTTTGGTGAAGGGAACAAAATTTGTTACATCAATGAAGAGCCATGGCGGCGGCCTAGCTTGTACAACACTCAACAAAGATTTATATCCTATATACACAATACTGTAATCTATAATGTGAATGAAAATAATTTGACTATAAATATACAGCAAAAAATGGCAGAGAGAGGAACCTTAAAGTTGATGCCGTAATTGCATCAGTAAGTCATGCATAGTCTCTATCTTTTGACTCAGTTGGAGTACGGTAAGGTGTTGAGAGGAAGACTCTGAAGTACCAGTATCACTGATTAAATCATTAAGTTTAGCCTGTGATTCCAGAAGTGCTTCCTCAAGCAAAGTTAATGTTTGTTCCGAAGTTCTGTGTGATTCCTCATTTATGAGAATTGGCAATGGAGAAATTCCTCTACTGCCAACACTTCCGTCTCTACTAACCTTTTCCGGAGAGAAAATCTTATCAATGCCTTCACTTCCTGCAGATAATCAAACCGTCATTAGAAGATTACGAAAATATATAAACTGAGGTTCTGTTTTGTCTGAGAACGAGTTCCCATATAAAATCACATTTTCCTACTCAAATTTTGTCAAAGCAAAATTTTTTTGGAGTTTGAAATTTGAATGCAAACAGGCATTAGGTGCTTCAGCTTGGAAGCTCCTCGAAATCAGGAAAAATAGTAGTCTACCAAAGCCATGTGATTTGCTCGAATAGTAACCACACTTAAGTCTCCTATTCATGAGAAAGTCCAGACAATTACTATCACATGTATCATTTACTGTACATGTATGAATTCAAATTTGTTCAAGTCACACCATCTCCAACCTTAGACTTCTGGTATTAGCTCCCTTAAACATAAGTTTTTTGAGGGTTAACAGAGTCAGAGTGTACTTTGTATTACTATTATATGTTGTAATCGGATAAGGTTTTCATTAATATTACAGCCCCTTGGATTCGATATAAAGCATTATCCATTTCCTATTCTAGTCCTGCGCATTTCCTCTCTTTGATCTATATGCCATACCAGTTAGTTAAGCATATCATACCTCACGTCTTAAATCCATCTTCTGCGCTGTATGAAAATGCAGTTTTGGGAAGATAAAATCACTTCCCAACTTCAGGAAAAACTAAGGTTCCATTAATGCAGCTTATAATAATGAGATTTTATGTCTGATGAGAAACAATTCAATGCATAATTTGACAACTTACCTAGGTGCCCAAGTTGATCAATTACTGACTGGCCAATAGAACCTTCTAACTTCAGCAACCGTATAATTCCAGCAGTTATCCGGCCAATTGAGTCAATTTCAGATTTGCACAGAAAAGTTAGGTGCTGAACCTCATCCTTGGTTACAACTGCCTCAATCTGCATGAAGAAAGCATCTCAGAACCTTCATATAAAAAATAGACAACGTGTCATAAATATGAAATTCTTATTACCGGTTGTTTGACAGAGAATTTTAGGTTTTCCACTTCCCAATTAACCATTTCATCATCAACATTCTCCCCACCTAAAATCAAGCGAACTTCAACACCAATTCCTCCAACTGCGTTGGTGGATTCTTTACCCCCATTTGCAATTAGCATTGATGCAGGAATGCCCTTTTGTAAATGAGGCTTCAAGATTTGCAGACCTTGAACTCCAACCTGCAAGTGTAGCCTCACGATGTAAGAGGAGTGATAGGAATAGAACACATCTTAAAGAACAAGAAACAGAATATTCCGATTTTAAACCTAGTAGTTACTAGCCAACAGAAAAATGTAACTGATATAATTATCCATCTAGGCTATCCCCCACCGTCCCAATGACAAAAGTAGAGTGTTTTTCAAGTTTTACAATCCCTACTGGATGTGATGCCTGACAAAATGTTGAGCTATTTTGTTTAGCAAGTGCTAATTTTGCTTTATCTCCTTTATAGAGTCAACCAAAATATATTATTCTTGAAAGCGAAAAGCAAATCTTTGATTCTACAGAAGGTTGGAGAAGAAATTTACAAACATAAACATTACATCTTAAAAACTGAAAGAAACATATTTCTTTACCGTAATCAATTCTACTGGATGTTGTTTTATTCTTTGCACTTGTATTTTTCCATCTGGAACATTTGGTGGGCTACTTTTTGCATTTACTCGTAAACCATGGAAAGATGCATGCCAACTCCTCTCTTCTCTTTCTTCATCTTCATGGCTGGAGAACCACCATCTTTCAGCTGTCTCTTGTGTATCTTCAAGGGCAAATAACCAGTCTCTCAATTCTATAGTTACATCCACATCATCAGGCTTCTTCAATTGGGGAAAAGCGGCTTCTTTCCCTTCTAGCATACTTCCAACTGGTGAAAAATAGGAAGGAAAGCTATTTAAATAGAGCGTACAAACATGCCCAAGATGAATTAAGAAACAAACTTTTTATGTATTAAGCACATTAACCAACTACAGAAATTTAGATTACATAGTTTGCTTCATACCATCTTCTGAATCATCAACAAGGAGAGGAGTTGCCTTAAAAAGTTTTGACAACGGTCCTTTCTGCAAGTTTTCCAATCCTTTACAAAGACCCATTCCGGGAGCTCCATCAGGCCCGAGTATTCCAAACCTATGCAGGAGGGCTTCAGCATAGTTCATTCCACCACCAAGACGAACACCAGATACCGAAGCTGAGACATTTAAACTATGAGATTCCACGTCTTGTTCATACAATGGTATTACATGCACCATGCTTATATCTAGAAAAGGGACTGAATGAGCATTTCCATTCAATAGATGCTTCTCATTCTTATGCACCCAAAAAACAGTTCTTAGCTGAGGATATCCATTATCACTCAGAGAGGTAGCATTTTCCTTAGAACACAAGAATGAGGCCTTTTCACATGGCAAGAGTCCCTCAGCATCTACACAACTTATCTCAACACTCTCCCAACGTAAAATAGATGAAACAATAATAGCACCTCCAAGGGTTCTATGAGTGGCACTGGTAGATAGATCATCTCCAAGAAACTGCACTAAAGGCAGCCCCTCAATATTAACAGAAGATGACTCCAGAAATCGAAGTTGGAGATTTTTCACTGATAAACTGACAGCAGCATCACTAGGAACCTTGTCCATCAGCTTTCCACCAAAGGATTTGTCCCTAATGTCCTCCAATTGTTTCCTTTTTCCAGCCATTGCTATCTTTTCACTAACTCTCCCAAAATAACCATAGAGATCCAGGACAAAAAACAATTGTTCAACAGAAGTGTTGGACAGATACTGTTCACAAGCAACTCCATCCCTGACAATACCCCCAGGCGGGGGAACTTGTAACAAGGGACTGCCATCAGCAGTTGCCATAGCCACTTCTATGCAAGCATCTTTCAGATCAACACATCTCCACAATCCTGCCGTCTGTCCAAGAGAACTTTGACATCCAGGTCCATCAATGCATGCTTCCAGAGACAAAGTAAGCTGGGATGCTCTAGCAGTCCATTTCTCCTGGCTAGCATCAATTGGTTGACCTTCCCAAAGACTAAAGCAAGCAGGATCCTTCTCCAGGTTCAGCATTCTCAGTTTCAGTGAGGGTGAATTTAGAAAGAAAAGCCTTTCAATATGAAGTCTTGCTCCAGAAAAGGAGGTCTGGACTGTATTGTCCATGTCATTTTTGGAAATATCCAATTTGGTCTTGTCAAAAGGAACTGTAATATCCAGTCCCTTGAGATTGAAAATAAAAGATTTCACCGAGAAATCTGGTAAAATATCACCAGGGTTGACAACAATACCGTCAGCTAATAAAGAGGATATCCTCAGACATGATTCTTCCTGGAGATGAATCTAAAAATATGGAAAGATTATTAAATTATAACATTGGCAAAAGTACAGAATTGATTCACTTTTTAAGTTTATAACAGGCCATTTATTGAAAGATCCTGCAC